ACTCACAGGCTCTTGCTGGAAGCATTTCCAGAGCCTACGGAAAGTTGGGCCAGAAGGATGAGAGTCAAGATTGGGATGCACAGCTGAGTCAAAGGACCACTGAGAACCAATGGGCAGGAGTGTTTCTGGCCTGTTAGAAGATGATCCGCTGACCAGTGGCCCTGCTGTGTGCCAGGTATGGGCTGTCACACAGCACTGAACAAGGACTATCATCTGCTAACATGAGTGCTTGATTTGAAATTATATGCAGAAGTTAACTCATAATTATGTCTCCGAAAGCTCTGATGTTTGTTCGTTAGGTGCCATTATATACATGGCCAGTGTGACTACTACTGTTGGATAATAAAAGATGAAGTAACATATTACCAAAATGATACCTCATCTGTAAAATATTTCATTGGATGGGTATCTGTGTTGCATAGAAATGGGTCCTGATGAAGAGGGCCAGGGAGAAAGTTCTTTGCCAAAGTCTCTGTAAACTTAGATCCTGAAATAACAAAGGGTATATCCCAAAACATCTGGATAGATGAAGGGTGTTCAGGGCTGTAATTTCAAACATTTAAAAATATGTAACAAGCACATCATTTGGACTCCAAATAAAAAAGTGCAAAAGTCTCTAAGGGTACTTAGCAGAGAAAGAAGGCGGGGTGGGCTTGGGGAAGGGTGAACAAAGGGGTCCAGCCCAGAGTCAAGAGGGAAGTGCCAGAGGATCATTTGAAAATCCTACAGGAAAAGAATAGAATTCTTTGATACCAGAATAGGGCTCTGCAAGACAGAAGAGGGATCAGCCACTGCTTCTCACCCATAATGTCACAGGCAAGCAAGTCGGCCTCCGGTGCCCACACCCCATCCCCATCCTGTATCTCTGCTTGCTTTTTGATTCTGGGACCTTTTATCAAAGTGGGGGTGGGAGGGACCTTAATTATCAGTTAGTAAGAGCAGCACTTAAAGTATGACTGTCTTCTAGTATTGGAAAAGAATAGGCAATTGAAGTAACTAGGATTGCTATGCTAGTGTCATTGTGGATTTGTTGGGAGGCCGGGCACCAGTGGCCCACGCTGTGGCCGCAGTGAAATTCATGGTTACTAGTAATCAAAAGGTGACAGTCTACTTTTTAGGAAGGCTGAGAGATACGAGGGCAGAAGGTCACTGTATGTGTGGAAACAGATGTAACCCCAGATGAGACAAGTACTAAAGATGAAAGTCAAATTTGACAGCTTTGCCAGAGATGGAAGCTGGGACACAGAGACAACACTGATGATTCAAAGGCATTTTTGTCCTGCATTGTCATTGTAGAAGGAGAAGGTGATTTATAAAAACTGACAATAGTCATCATTTGATTCTAAGCCAGCAGCACCATATGAAAGGCAGTATTTGTAGAGACGCATTACTGTGACTTTCATTCTATCAAGATGGATGAGAGACCATTCCGACCCATGGGTGAGAATGACTGTGCTGTGCTTCAGGTAGATGTGCTGCACCTCCTCACAGCCTGTGTTACCCTGCTCTGCTCTGGTCCCCTTCATACAGTGTCTTGCCAGAAGCAAAAGAACTCTGTTTCACGTACCCCCGTATCCCAGTGAGCATCAGATGCACTACAAACATGCACAGGAACCAACGCGTGGATGAATTCTGCTGCTGCGTGTTCATCATTTGGGGAAGTAGCAGGCAGCTGAATATACATAGGATTGCTCTGCCGATTTCATCATGGATTGTTTTGTTTATGGGTGGTGGTATGTGGATGGAGCCTAGCAAGGACCTCATGAATACTCAGCAAGCACTGACCATATCCTCAGCCCAGCATGGAAATTTCCAGGTCAGGAAATTCAAGGCCTGTCTTCTCATCAGACGTAAGACACTCTCAAAAAGAAAAGGCCTTACCCTCTAACTACTGTCTCCCACTCTTTCTTAATATAGCAGAAAACCCAACATAACGTGGCTTCAACCAGAAGGACAATTATTTACTCATGTAGAGGATCAGAGCTAGGTAACTAGGTCAGCAGCTAAATAATGGTGTGAGCAGCAGTGTGGTGTGGCCTCTTCTCTCAGCTATGGCCCTCTATTGTCACATAGTCCTTGGGCAGAGACTACAGCTCTTTGCCATGTCCTCACTCAACTGAGTATATGATGGTAGGAAGCCTGTGTGTGTACATGTATGTGCTTTGTGCATGTGTGCTGAGGGTAGAGAAAGTTGTACTCTCCTCCCTCTTTTTTACCTGGGAGGAAACTCTTTCCCAATAGCCTCCTGACACTTTCTCCGATATCTCAGATCGCATCTCTAGGCCAGTTGATGGTAAGGCAGAATGGAAAGACTTAATTCTACCACCCATGATTCATCCAGCTTCTTTCTAAAGGAGGAAGGAGAGAATGGATGTTATGTAGGGACCTAGAAGTGTCTGCCATGCCACACCTAGTCCCCTATGGAAAACCGTAATCAACCTTGTGGTCCAGTCATTCCTCCAAGGGTTAGCCTTCCTCCCAGAGTTAGGATCTGAGTTTGGGGTTTGATTGTTTTTGTTTTTATCATGAGCTCAAGGAGGAACCTGAACTATATGGGCCTTGCCCCGAATTATTGGGCTTTGGTGAGTCATGTCCCATCTCAGGACTGGCTTCTCTTTACTTCACTCTGGAACATTTTATGAGTTGCAGTTTACAAGATCCATGTTTTCTTCCATTTAATTCATATGTAGGAGGATAATGGGTCTTAGGATTATATCACACTTCCCTAGTAGGAAGTGCATCTGCTGTGAGAAATATGTCAAGGGGTTTAGCACACGTGTCAAGTTATGCCAGAAATTATGAGGGGCTGTTTTCTGGCTTGGGGTAAATGTTAATCCCCTTGTATGAAATCAGCAGTGTCTATTTTACTCATTAGAGTGACTTTCTTGAGCTTTTGGTAGATGAACCAGTTCTCAGGGGGAATGCATTCTGGCTGCAACCCAGCACATTCGTGAAAGAAGGCAGGAACTTATCTGCTCTCTGAACAGCCAATGCCCCTTAGCCTGCCCCTGTCTGCAAGCGGCTGTCCTGCTTCACCTACAAAGTATATTCCTGTGAGCAAATCTACAGGCATTTAAAAGACAACTATAAACTAAATAAAGTCCCCAGATGCCATGCTTCTAATTAAATATTCCTGGAATTTCACAGTATGTATTTTTGTGAAATAAATCAGGGTTTGGCCGATGCTTGGTTTTGTCAAGAATTAGTCTATTTTGAAATGTCTCATTTGGGGCTGGTATGAAGCTAGCTTGTGGGCAGTATGAGCAGAGTCATTTCCCTGCAGATGGCCTGATAAAACTCGGGGGTGGCAAAGAACATGCTGATCCTTTCCGCCCAAAGCAATTAGCCAATTTTCTGCCTCTCTGAGCCATCACAAGCATCCTTGGAATATCAAAAACATAACTTTGGGGTACCTAGGAGGCTATCAGAGGGGCCTCTTCTTTTGCCTTGTCATCTTTATAGTACTTATTCTCGAAAGGCCATCTTCTTAGCAGACTGGCTGGATTGCATGCAGTGTCTATAGGAGAGAACTAATGTTTGATCAAAGAGAAGCCACTTGTCACATAGGAACTTGTTTTTCTAATCTCTTTTAAAGTTCTTTATTTTAAAACAAACAACAGACCAGAAAGTCCACACACAATCCAAAGCGAAGACCAGCATCCAAAACAGTTCTTCCAGTAGACCTGTGCCTGCTTGAACCACTGCTGGAGCTAGC